TGATTCGGCGTGTGTGTGTTGATAAGCGGAAAATGGGAAGAAGTGTGCTGGGACTGAATGGTAGATAGGAACAGAGTTTGAGATTAGAGAAAAGAGTTTGCTGTGGTGGGAAATAAAGTTTAGTGTNATGTCATTTTGGCAAGCCAATCGATTTATCGAGTTTGACACTTTCCGCCGCTTTCTGCAATCAGCTTGAGCGATCCGAACGAGCATCGAGCGTCAATTGATTGAGTCTGCTTATGCCAGTGCGTATAATCGAGGATGCTGAGTTGGTTGAGATGAGCTTACTTTGATTCGGCGTGTGTGTGTTGATAAGCGGAAAATGGGAAGAAGTGTGCTGGGACTGAATGGTAGATAGGAACAGAGTTTGAGATTAGAGAAAAGAGTTTGCTGTGGTGGGAAATAAAGTTTAGTGTCCTTAATTTGGCACATGAACGCAAAACTTTACTTGATGGCACTATTGCTTGTGGTTTTTTGTTTATTTCAAAGTGCACTTGCTGCAGATAACATATCAGTGAACGTGATCATTCAACTATTACTACAAACTAGTACAAATGTTTTTGCGTTACAGAATGTTGAAGATCGGTTTTAGAACGATTCGTGTCTTTGTAAACAAACTTATATTTATCGTTTTTAGTGAAACATAAAAAATTAAATAAAAGCCAGTAGGATACGATACAAAAACATTGATAATGCTTTTGGCCAACACAAATACCCTCTTTTGTTTTTGTATGATAAAAAATGAACAAAAAAGTTTTAGCTTGTCAATCACATGACATCAAGTGTTGACAATCAGTATCGATCAGTGGAAGCCAAGTAAAAAACATCGTATTTTATGCTTTTTAATAATACACTTTAACCATGGTAGGAATACAAAGTTCCTCTGAAAAGTGGTGTAAGAATCACAGTGACAGTAAAGTTGGTGAATACCTAGTGGATGTACTTGTACAGCAGTAGATAGGCACGTTGGCGCATCAGCGACTGAGCAGTTGGGACGGCAGCAGCAGCACTGGAATCAGTGGAAGTGAACCCGCTGGCAATCACCGACACTGTCTGGTCATCAAAAAGGACCCACTTCTGCGGGTGCAGGCCGTGCAGTGTCACGTAGTGGCCACCCTCCTGGCGAACAATGGCACTCAGCAGACTGTACTCTCGACCGCCCACCTTGATCAGCGGGTCAATGAGCACAGGACGGGCGTCCACCACAGCAGCGGTAGCAGCAGAATCATTCTTTTTCGAATCACGATCGAGGTGAATGAGCAGGTACTGCGGAGCTCGAGTGACAGTCACTTGCTTGCTCACCACTGACTGCTTGGCTGGAAGGCATTTAGTGCACTTAGGAAGTTGGTTCTTTTCATCCGGAGTCAGTTGCTGGTGTACAACAAAAAATCTATTAGTTGTTTTAGTGACACAGTGTTGCTTACCTGAACCGCCAGGTACTGGCCAAGACAGTCTGACAGAGTGAGCTCCTTCTTCAGAGCCTCTGGCGGCGGCAGCGGAACAGCCAACGTCCAAAAGGAACTCCAGCTGAGGCTGTTCTTTGCACCACAGCTCAGACAGTTCACCACCGACTGCAGCTGTCCTTTGATGAGGTGCACCAGAAAGCTGTCATCTTCAGTGTCCAGCTTGTGCTCCCAGGCAGTTTCTGCCGAAGTGATATTGTTTGTTGAGGCTGAGTGAGCTGGACGTGCCTTGTTCACCTCACTGTGCAGCGTCTGCAGTATGGCGACAAGAAAGTCGACGGCACTGCGCTTCTTCAGCTTCTCCAGCACTGAAGCATTCAACGCAACTGATCGAGCTGTGACAGTGCGNTTGCCAGCACCGACTTCACGTTGATCACATCGACTAGAAATAGAGCCGGCCATCACCTGGAAAAGCGTGTCCAGAGAACGGTGCAGCGAGGGACTGACGTTGGCTGGAACATCGTCCTTGTTGGAGCGCACGTATAGTGGAATGGGTTTCCAGCTGTACAGCAGCTGGAGAACGGCGTTCACGTGGCTACTCTGACCGTCCTCATTCGCCAGGCCACTGTAAAGGAGGAGGACGTCCTTGCTCGAGGACAGTGACTTGGTGGTCTTCAAAGAGGGAGCATTGCTCTTGGCCCAAGTCGATGACTGTGGCCCACTGGTGGTAGACATTGGACCGGCTGCTGAAGTGCCCTGATTCGCTTTGATGTAGTTGGAACGAAGAGAAAGGGTTGTCTCTAGATTGGTGGCCAGACTAGCCTCGTCATCGGCCAAGTTTTTAAAGACACACTGGTGGCCGGTGACGGGATCAACGCGCAGTGATTGAGTGTCATCAAAACTGGTGCCGCCGTTTGAGTTGCTGTTAGAGTTGCTGCCATCGCTGTTGCTACTACTACTACTACTGCTTGTTTCCATTGAGACCGGGCTGGTTGTGGTTTTGGAAAAGACGTGAAAAACTAGCTCCTGCTCTTCGCGGTATGCCTCAGCTGCTATCTCATCCTCGAATGCTTCGAGGCTCGGCTCGCTTTCAGTGTAAGCCATCATCTCCTTGCTGGTGCTTGAAGGAGTGCTGTTTGGTCGAGTTTCACTGGACTTTTCACTGCTTTTCATCTTCATCTTTTTCTTCTCTGGTTGCGAGTTGATTGAACTTGCCTTTTCATTACCTGGTGATGACATGCTGAAATGCAATGAGGTGGACAATGAAGTGATTGACCAAGTTTGGCAAACGATTTTGTGAGTGATGACGAGAACTAGTGATGAGTAGCTGTTTTTATGCGTAATGAGTAGAGCTGCTTTACTGGAAAAGTCGAACTTTTTGAGTGCTCTAGCGATGAGTTTGAGCATCATNTACCTGGTGATGACATGCTGAAATGCAATGAGGTGGACAATGAAGTGATTAACCAAGTTTGGCAAACGATTTTGTGAGTGCTGACGAGAACTAGTGATGAGTAGCTGTTTTTATGCGTAATGAGTAGAGCTGCTTTACTGGAAAAGTAGAACTTTTTGAGTGCTCTAGCGATGAGTTTGAGCATCATAGCTGTGCTACATTTCAGCTAAACGATNGTAATAATTAAAAATAAAAATTTGTAAAAATTTGCTTTGGTGCAACGACGCCAGGTGAGGTGTTGGAAAAAGGAAAAAACTAATTGTGTAAAGGTGGCGTGTTGCTGGTGCCACTGGCAAAGTCGGCCAGTCAGACAGTCAGTGAGTGAGCAGGGTGAGAAAGCAGTGTAGCCTAGCTCACTACATCCGACTGGACTTGACCTGGCTGATGGTGCTACCGCCGGTGGTAGAGGCCGCAGAGAGGACGCTTCCGCCGCCNAGGTGAGGTGTTGGAAAAAGGAAAAAACTAATTGTGTAAAGGTGGCGTGTTGCTGGTGCCACTGGCAAAGTCGGCCAGTCAGACAGTCAGTGAGTGAGCAGGGTGAGAAAGCAGTGTAGCCTAGCTCACTACATCCGNGTTCAAGATATCGAGAAACGGTTTTTACACAATAAACAAGCTAAATGGCAACTTTCAAATGAAACCAAACTTGAGGTGATTCGAGCATCGGGTGCATTTTTAAGATCGTNCTGCCGGCAGTGCTCGAGCCGACGTTGCTGCCGATGGCGCTGCTCTTGGCGGCCAGCAGCGAGGACGAGCTCTTCTGGGACGCCTGCGACTTGACCGACTTGACCAGCTTGCTGGTGTTGCCGCTCAGCTTGGTCTTCATGGTGGCCGTGTCCTTGGGAGGAGCGGCTTTAGCGGAGGTCTTAGCCTTAGCCTTAACCTTGGCCTTAAGGGCAGGCGGCCCCTTGGGAGCGCTAGACTTGACGGCCTTGGCGACCTTGGCGCTCGGCACTGAGGCGACCTTCGACTTGACGCCGGAGCCGAGCTGCGACTTGGCGCCGCCAGTGCTGGCGGGAGCAGGCTGCGAGCTGGGAGCAGACTTGGCGCCACTGCTCGGCTGCGACTTGGCCTTGTCGTCGTAGTCGTCGTCCTTGCCCGACTGAGAGCGCTCGCCCGAGGGAGAGGAGGTGGCGCCCTTCTTGGCCCTGCCAACAGCAGCACCGCCAGCAGCCCCTCCCTTCTTCTTCTTTGACTTCTCTTTCTCCCCCTGCGGAGCCTCCTTGTTCATGCACACGCAGATGATCACCACGCCGATGATGACCAGAATAATGATGACGCCGATGATGGCGATCAGCACGACGTAGCTCTTGGCGGTGGTGCTCGAAGGGGTGTTGGTTCCTTTCTTCTTCGTGGAAACCTTCTTCGTGCTGGTGCTTGGTCCAGTGACAGTGGTGCCATTGCTGGTGGTGGTGCTGTTTCCACTGGGCGTGGTGGACGGTGACAGCGTAGTCGAGCTGTTGCTTGGGGTGGTCGGGGCGACGGTGGTGCTCAAATTTGAAGTGGTCACATCGGCCACAGTTTCCGACACCTCTATGCCAGGGCTCTCTGTAGCCACGGAGAAGTCGATGCTCTCGGTGGACACCACCTCCTGGGCGCCGTGCTCCACCACGCAGAAGGTGGCCAGCAGAAGTGATCCAAGGGCCAAGGCCAGGACGAGCTTGCGAGCAGACCACATCATTGCTGGCGTTGCAAAGTTAGATGACGCAAAAAGAGAGTTTGCTTGCTCGACGTGGGCAAAGTAGTTGCTTGTTGGATNGCGAGCAGACCACATCATTGGTGGCGTTGCAAAGTTAGATGACGCAAAAAAGAGAGTTTGCTTGCTCGACGTGGGCAAAGTAGTTGCTTGTTGGATATAGAGCAAAGTCTAGTTTGCGCAAAACGGAAGGAAAAGTGGTGAAAAAGTGCTCAGAGGGAGTTGCTTTTATAAGCAAAGGCTTGAAAATTTAGAATTTGAGCATTTGAATGATGACTGGTTTTACTTATTTGAATTTTCAAGAAGTAANATAGAGCAAAGTCTAGTTTGCGCAAAACGGAAGGAAAAGTGGTGAAAAAGTGCTCAGAGGGAGTTGCTTTTATAAGCAAAGGCTTGAAAATTTAGAATTTGAGCATTTGAATGATGACTGGTTTTACTTATTTGAATTTTCAAGAAGTAACTTTCCCTCTCAGCAAACCGCCGATCGGTTTTATTTCATTTTGGGCACTGTGTGGCAGCATGTGACTATTTTGGAGTGCCTGCCTGCAGCACAGCTGCACAACAACAACAAAATGCTGATGATTTCAACCGTATTTATATCAGCAGGCTTTCCGCAAACACCTGGAACATCCTAAACCTGCCCACATAGCAATGGCATCTCTTTTTGACAGCTTCCTCTACCGGAGGGTCTTCCGTGAAACGCTTTTTCCTCTGTGGATCATGATCAGCTCACCGACAATCTGCTGTCGTACATTGTCGTACAACACCATAGCAGCGTGGTGGATACTTTTGCTGAAAGGTCGCTCTTTGAGGTGATCAGTTCGGCGTGGGCTCAGGTTGACTGGTGATTACTGCTGAAGTTTGAATTCATTTGAGGGTTTAACATTTTTTATATTCACTAGGTTCGACTGTGAATGTTGGCTAATAGTAGTTGTTTGCTTTCTCTGGTCACTCCTTGCGATGCTTATCATCCCTGGTCCGATGTACCACGGTCCAACCACCACCACCTCCACCTACCGTCCGCAGTACTGTGACAATGGCTGGCGGTTCTACCTGATCTCGCTGTGCCTGGCAGTGCCCCTCATCTGGCACTGCTCCGTCCTGCACCTCTACTACAAGTTCACCACCCTCATCGGCATCCTCACCCTCTGCGGCCTGCTGCTCACCGTGGCCGTCTACCTGAAGGGCATAATGGCCCCGGACCGGCACGGCGGCGAGCACGACCCGAGCGGCAATCCGCTCTTTGACCTGTACTGCGGCGTCGAGCTGTTCCCAAACTTAGGTCTTCTTCAGCGTAAGGTCAGTCTGAAGGTGCTGATCAACACTCGCGTCTCCCTGCCTGTACACGCTCCCGAACAGCTTCCTGGTGGAGAACTGCCGCCGACCGGACGGTGTGCTCACTCGGTCGGTGGCCATTCTCGCGCTGGTCCTGGGCATCGGCGGCCTGGTGCTCAGCTACCTCACCGACACACAGCGAACTGCCGTCAGGGCGGCCGATGGCCGGTGTACTGTTTGGGGACGGCCGCCCAGGCTGATCCGCGCCAAGTACCGCAGTGAGAAGGGCGAGGAGCGACCTTCGCTCCTTCTGGCCTCCGGTTTCTGGGGCCAGGCGAGGCACATGAACTACCTCTTTGAGGCGGTGACCAATCTGGCGATGGCACTGCCCACCCTCAGCTGTCTGCCCTTTGCACTTTTTGCCGTGGTCCTCGGAATACTCCTTCACCGGACGACTCGAGATGATGAGAAGTGCGCCCGCAAGTACGGAAAGTACTGGCAGCAGTACAAAGAGTTGGTGCCCTACCGAATGGTGCCTGGAGTTTTTTGAAACACAATAAAAATATTGGTGCGCCACCTATTGAGTTTGAAACGAAATGCTCTTTAATTTTCAGCTTTTAAAATTAATTAATGGAAGATCTTTATCGTTTATTTCAAATATCGTTGGTATTATCTT